TATTTAATCATGGTATTACTTTGAACATGTTATATAAAAATGTTACACCAAAGGAATTCACAAAATTCTGATTATTGCCCAATTAATATGACCTCGAATTTTACATTGAAGTCTATGGGCAGCGCATGTTTTTATAAGATATTGTAAAAAGTAATTTGAATTTCAAACAAATCTCTTGGTTAAATTATGCATAAACTCCTTCTTTATTAAGCTATGAAATAAAATGAATTATTTACCGCAGAAATTTTGAGAAATCAATAATTTTCTTCTTTTCATCAAGGGCAGATAACTCTTCAAATACTTTTAATGTGCAAAATAACTGTCTCCTTACATGTTATCAGTCTTATGAATTTAGCTCATTTCACTTTTTCCGTTATCTAACAATGTGTTTTTAACTAGTTTAAATTTTTTTTAAAATCGTTCAAAATGCCGTCATTATACATTGAATATCTCAAGATTTTTTTTTTATTTTTAAACTTTAAATTATTTTTTGCAACAAAAAATATTTCAAAGTGTTTACTTTTATCTGCTTGTTAAGGTTCATCTTTAGGTTTCATGCATTTCGCCCGTTCCATTAAATCAAAACTATGCAAGTATTAGTCATTTTGTGTGTTAATATTTTTTTATTCCGTGGGATCCGGGTTAGAATAGGTCCTCAGTACCCCCTTGCTTGTCGTAAAAGGTGACTAAATTGGGCGGTCCTTCGAATGAGACCGTATAAACCGAGGCCCCGTGTCACAGCAGGTGTGGCACGATAAAGATCCCTCCCTGCTCAAAGGTCTAAGTGCCGAGCATAGGCCTAAATTTGCAGCCCTTCACCGGCAATGGTGATGTTTCCATATCGGTGAAATATTCTGGAGAGGGACGTTAAACAGTATACAATCAATCAATCAATCCAAAGAATTTTATGCATAAGGAGTAAAGTTCAAACAAAAATAAAAGGGGATTGAGATCGTTTACAGTTTGATATAAAAAAGCCAGGACTTTAATTTATCGTGTGGAATGGCAGCGTATAAGTTGAAAAGTCGTATGTTTTTAAGATGTTGATTTTGATAAAATCTTGTGATTTCAATGCGTCCAAAAGTTCCTTCGAATATTTTAAGCATCCACATCTGATTAATATCACTGTAAAAAATGTATTTAGATGATATACACTTTCTTAAGCACATTGACACACTTTTTATGAGTTGAAATTCTGAACACATTGATTTTCATTACGTATAAGGGAAATTGCTTAGAGCTTAAACACTTACATGTTTAAGATTTAAACACTTTACAAAACATGTATACAAACTAAACACGTGGATGTATTCATTGTCTTACTGCAAGATAACTGAAAATATAACAATTGATTGTTTACATTTAAAGTTTTATTCAATCAACATTCAATCAATTTATTTAAAAAAATTTTAAATTACATGTAAATGTACATAATTTTATGTTTAAGCATCCACTCCCATGCTGTAGAAATGTTTTGGGTTGTTTAAAGCTATAACGAACAGCAGATGTAACAAAATTAAGTTTTTTCTAGAAAGTAAGAAGTGCTGAAAAATGTAAGACCGATGGCATGTTATTATGGAATTGATGATGGCAGCAGTTCCTCTGATACGTGTATTCTTTATTTTAAGTTCGATGTGGACCATAATCCTGTAAGAAAAAAAATCAAATTTTATTGAAATATGCTCCTCAATGGCTGGAGTTGTATGATTTATTTTTATATGTTTTATAGCTATATTGTGCCTACTTTTATTGAACCCCATTTAACCAATATATATAGTACTGATACCGATATAGATATTATTATTGACATTCCAATTAATGTACTCCTTTCTGGATTTCAGGAATGTGTCAGAGGGTGTAACTTTTATATTAAGTTACAGTCCGTGAATTATTATATCTCCAGACCAAAACACTAACAGCTCACTAGTCAATATATATTTTAATAATGATACTTCATAAATATACTTCAAGTGTCATATGGTATGGTATATATATGGTGGTCTACAATAGATATGGATACCGTACGTACCGTCCATTCATAGTGAAATTTATATCAAGTATTTAATTCATAATTTCATTTACTAATTATAAAATAGTTTAATCAAAATAACATACCATGTAGACAGAATTAGATTACTCCTATTTATATAAGGATAATATAAAAACGACGTAAGTTAAATGTAACGTCTGTCTTTGCGAGGGTTTTCATACGAAGTGATAAAAAATATCATCTCATGCAAATGTTAATAAAATTCGCGCCAGCCATGCCCAATGACTGGAAAAACCAGTCAAACACACCAATACACAATCCATACTCACCGTATGAATGAATGAAATGACGCATGCGCATATAACCATAATAGTACATATCAAATAATGATTCTGTTACATTGTCCCTGTGTAAGAGGAAAATGTCTCCTGACATTTTAATCAAAATAAAAATGCAGAGGTCAAATGCAGAGGTCAAAATCATTCCTTGCAATATTGAAAATTTGTACGCTGATACATGTACTTCAAAACTTCAAATCATATTTAAAGGTTTATGATATGCTGATAATGCTGATATTGCCAGTATAAATTTTTTGAAAATATCTTTTCGACACTCTTCTCAGAAGTTTGATACATTAAGATTCTTTACTTCACCCACAATCTAATTAAAATTAGATGTTAGATCCGCTCGCAGACTTGCTACACTAACAAGCAACACTAACACTTACTTAGTAAAGCAAGTATGCAAGTATATTATATTCTCTCCTCTATACTACATGTAACTGATATTTTGTATAAAAGATTTGCAAATAGGTTTCGAAGAATGCGGATTTGCAATTAATATATAAACTTATAAAAAATCATAAATCTCGTATCAGTGTCTAGCCAAGTAATTTGTAGTACGTGGCTGATGGGAGCCACGTTCTTTAAGAAAGAATCTCTGAGCAAGAAAATATGAAATAATACGGAGGCATCCGTATACAGGTAGTGTAAATTATAGTTCATGGGAGTAGTTATTCAAATAATGACCTCCGGGGGGTAGGACAGGGCCACAAAAGGTATAATTAAAGTTATATACAGGAATTAATAATAAAATAATTTCAAAAACACTTCTGCGGAACAGCAAAGCCACAATTATTAGTTTAAGTTTTATGGAAGCATTATCAGATAGTGAAGATACAATTTTGCTCAAATCATTTAGGTAGTATTAAAAATACTATTTTTTAACATTTACAAATTAATGTAAGTTAAAACAACATTATACAGTTGTTAACTGGGGTAGAGGGAAAACAGTCGATCTCTTACATCGAAGTGCAAGCTGTTGCCTAAGGCCTAGGGCAACAGTTTGCATTCCGGTCCAACAGGTCGACTGTTTCCCGAGACTCCTTTCACCTAGTACTTTTATGTTATTCCCCTTATACCGAATGTAAAGATAACTCAGTTTTGTGCCATATGACGTCAGCGGGCAACAGTCGTTTTAGCTAACCTGAGCTGAAAGCGCAAGTGAGCTTTTCGTATCACATGATGTCTGGAGTCCGTCTGTCCGACCGTCTAGCTGTATGTCTGTCTAGACGTCCGTCTCTAAACTTTTCACATTTTCAACTTCTTCTCAAGAACCAAATGAATGTGACCTTTCAAACAAACTTGCCACAATGCATCCTTGTGTGGTAAAGGGGATTCAACTTTGTTCAAATAAATGGCCAAGCCCTTATTCAAGGGGGAGATAATTAAGAAATAGTGAAAATTCTGTGGCATGTTTTAATAATCTTCTTGTCAAGAACCACTGTGTAGGAAAAGATGAAACTAATGTGGAATAATTGATCATATTTATATGGAATCATCCTCAGATAGTGTAGATTCAAGTTTTTGTAAATCATGACCCCAAGGAGTAGGGTGGGGCCACAATGGACGACTAAAGTTTTACATAGGAATATAGATATAGGAAAAATCTTTTTAAAATAGAACAAAGTCTTCATTGATTATATTTATGTGGGGAGGGACCGCAATGGACGACAGTTTACATAGGAATATATAGAAAAAAATCCCTAAAAATCTGAACAGCAAAGCAATGGATGGTGATATTCATATAGAAGCATTGTAAATGTAAATTCAGGTTTGTTCAAATCATGACCTCCCGGGGATGGGGTGGGGCAGAAATGAAAGTTCAAACTTATGGGGAAAAAGCAACAGTATGTCAAATTCTAGAAAATAGGTATGCATTCTTTGTAGATTCAAGTTAATTCAAATTATCCCCCTACATTGGGACCACATGCATTTAAGGTTTTGAAAACTGGATCGATTTTTGCTTTTTTTCATGGCTATACTACATAGGTGACCGATGTGGCCCATGAGGCTCTTGCTTACAGTCTATTCTAACAGTTCTTGGGTCGACAGTCGGTTTTTTTCGATTTCGATTTCATGACGATGATAAACCGATTGAGTTGCGTGATAACTTTATGCAGGCGTTTTTGCAAATTATCATGCAAGCCGATCTATTGATCATATCAAGAAATCGAAAAAAAATCAGGAAAGTTATTCTATAAATGAATCTTTAGCGTTCATAAAAATGATATCTTTGTTGTAAATTATTGCTCCAGTTGATGAAACATCGATAGAAACCAAAAAAAGACAGATCGAAAAGAAAGACAGATTAGCATATTTCAGTTTTCTCATTGTCTAGTATCAGTTAAAACAGTTAAATATTCTCATTGTTTAAACGGAAACATGCCCGCATGTATTATTATTAATAAATGCAAAAATTGAAAAGTGTCTGGAAACTGCATTATCTGTTATAAACATTTTTGTGTTTGAGCATAGTTCGCTGACAACCAATCAAAATTTCAGATTTCAGTAGAAATATTTTCCTTGTGCATTATATAACTGTAAAGAAGCCGAAGAACTAGTGCTATTTTTTTCCAGCCTTTAAATCGAAACAGTTGCTATTTAAAGAAAACACGTTAACCACAGTGATGGGATCTTTATACTTACCTTGTCTTATACTTTCTTTGTGCATGTATGAAACATTTGGGCAGGTGTCCTTACTTCAGAACAAGACATCTGATAAAAACGGTTTGGTACCTAATACTGAATCTGATAAAGCCTCCAATGTCCTACGAGACATTCTGAATCAGGAGAGTCTTGTCCGCTTCTCTATGGTACAAAGAATTCAGGGCTTGGTTATGGATGCCATGGACAATAGAAACGATCAGAAAATTCTACAGACAAAGCTCGGGAGTGTTATAAATGAAATACAGGATCTGGAGTTAAAAGACCAGAAAATTAAAGCAGAAAACTTGGAACTAAAACGAGAATTAAAGACTTTGGATGAAAAGCTAAATCAGATGAATGAGACCTTACAAACAATTAGTGTAAATAATATAGTTGACCGGCTCGCTGGAACAGAAGACATGTTAAGTATTTTGTCTGCCTCTGTTAATAAATCTTTTGAAAAAGCTCATGAGGATCTTAAAAAGTCGAAGCTACAGTGGTCAAAGAGGACTGGTGAGTAAGCTACAAAATATAAATTTACATGTTTATAATTTTAAAAATATAGTATAAATGAGATTAAAAAAATATAAATGGTGTTTCTATATCGAATTATGCTTGAATCATTTCTGTTAGAAATACTTTTCAATTTATTTTCTTCTTAAAATGATGTTACTTTTGAAACTGTCACCAAAATACTTTTACGGACATGGTCATTTTCCAATGTGTCGTTTACAAGTAAAATTAATTCCTAGAGTTTATCGTAACTTTAAGAAAAATCTTCAAAAGGGGAGAACTACGGCAAAAATAAATATTTGCATTGTTTATAGATCTTTTGGCAAATCAATCACTGTTCAACCTTATCCTTTGTCATTGAATGGCCAGCAATCACCCCATTTTCTTTGCACTTTCAGGACTGTTTTAGGACGTCATCAGAAAATTAACACATTAACACATCCACTCCCTTAGCCCCACCTCACCACCCCCTAAAAACCTAAATGTGCATGATTTCCTTAAAAATAGTAAATATATCAAATAATGATCTAAATAACATGTAGATATGGTATGAAATATGTAAACGAAAATTAATGAAAATCTAAAAGAAATTTTGTTTTGTTGATAAGCGCGGAGTAATTTTATTTGATTAATTTATGCATCACAAGTCAAGTCATAAGTTACCCATTCCCGAAAGTTTGTCTAATTATGGAATGGAATGATCTTAAACTGTGAAAAATAAGTAAAGCCGATATCTAGGACAAACTTTGCATCCGTATTTTTAGGGCCGATTTTGGCCCATAGATTCCCTACCTTTTTATTACAACAGCTATAACCACAAGAGGTCCAAAATAAATACAAATCAAGGCATCCATTTTTTTTTATTGTACCATCTATCCTTCAGTAGACATGGTATATGTAATATGTAAAAGTTAGACTTAACCTACTTTGAAATATAACCTTGACTATAATTTTTTAATGGTTAGGACTAGGGGTTTCTTTCTTCAAATTTAGTTCCTGTGACACGGCCTTTCATTTGATATCAAGAACCTTGACCTTTGACCGTGATCTCGGAGTTTGACTCTGATCTCGGAGCAAGACCTTTCATTTGAACGTAAAAATTCTGAGCTTTTTCCATAACCTTGGGCCTTTCCGTTCTTACAAAAATCTTTCACTTTGGTAATATTTTTTAAAGGGTAAAGGTCAACGCTTTCACACTTTCCATTAATTTTGTAATCTTTGAGACAAGACCTTTACTTAGAATCCAACAACCTTGACCCTTTGACCTTGATACTGGACTTTATTCTAACTTACAAAAGATGTTTACCTTGGTCAGTCATAGCCTTTGAACAGGCTGTGTTTGCGTTTTATATTTAACATTTTTGTTTCTTGTGAAAAAGCCTTACTTTAGGTACACACATCATTTGGTCTGCATTTGAGAAAGCTTAACCTTTGCCGTGTTGCCATACGGAGCCATCAGATTGCCGCGATTTCATACAACCGGTTTTACTGTATTCATGGCAAAATATCTATGTTTGTATCACATCCTGATATCATCAA